TTTGAGAGAGAGAGAGAGAGAGAGAGAGAGAGAGAGAGAGAGAGAGAGATGGTCCTCTTTGAACTCAAAAGGCAAATTAGGGCATGATATTTATTGAAATACGTGGTCATTTAATCATTACTAGTTTAGTGAATTCTGGGAATGAAGGCAACCCTACGCTCATTGCTAGACGAACGTCCAGTTTTGAGTAATTAATCTTTCTTGGATTCATTTACATACCTATGTGGTCATTTAATTTAAGTGATGCATGCATAAAATATTGGTTTAATTATGACTCTCCAATAATTCATTCTAAATTTATTTACAGCATAATACTTCTCCAATGAAAACTTACATTGATAAGTCAATGTAACCTTTGCACCAAGAATGGGAGATGAGGACTTAATCCTGCTTCGTTGTGATCACACATGATGAGGATTAGGTGCCAACATAATTTGGATGTATTAGAGCACTTACTCTTTCAGTCGTCTTTCTTGTCACAACCAACCTTCTATCACCCAAAAAAATAAAAAATAAAAAAATAAAAAAAATAAATTTAAAATGCAAGATAACTAACAAGAAATTTTTAGGCGATTTTCTCCATCAATTGGCTCTGTCTTTGCCAAAATGTCGGCACATTTCTCTTTCATTCTTTTTCCCAAACTATCTTTTTGGAAGTTACTTTTTGATATGCTTGAATAATCTTTTAAAAGTATTTTTTTTTTTTTAGAATAATTTTTATAGAAATTTGGCCCAACATAACTTTTTGAAAAGCATCATGATTTTTTTTTTAAGAAGGAAAAAAAAAAACCGTCTCTTTGAACTTAATTTACAACTTTAATATTAGTAGCTAATTAATCATGATCGAGGCCTTTGAACAAACATCATCATTTAAGCATCTTGTTCTTTTCTAGTCTAGATGTAAATGGAAGGCAAATAAAAGTAGATGCTCACATTTAATGAAAAATTGAAACTTAAGCGAAACAATTTCAAGCAGAGAGGGATAAGTTACCCCTTTTCTATAACCTATTTGAGGTTTTATGGGATATTGATATATATGTATGGAGACTATTGATTAATTTATGTAAAGTTATTAGAATAGTTATGTGTAGTGTAGTATAGTAGCTAACAAAAAGGTGTTGCAGCATAGACAAAATGGTACAACCTACAAAGGAAGGGATATGGAGGACCGTAACAATAAATAGGAACACAAGTGTAAAGGACAATGGCAAGTCATCAAGGATTAATTAGGACCTTGGGTTACCCTTCTTTAATGCTTCACAAAACAATAGATAAGGCAAAAGCATATTACCACAATAAATCAAAAACTTTACTTCTTTCATAATAGAGGAGAGATTTGAAGACAAAGTCAAGGATTTGTTCATTCAACTCAATAAGTGCCTACATCTTCGAAACTCAGTAATCATTTGCATTGCACCATGAATTTGAGTGATATTATAGTGTAGAATTACATAAAAGAAATGAGTGAATTACCCAAATGGTTACTGAACTTTGTAAAAGGTTTATACGGGGTTACTGGACTTTAAAAATCATTCAATTCATCATTGAACTTTGCAAAAGTTTTTCACGGGGTTACTGAATTTTAAAAATCATCTCATTCATCACTGAACTTTGCAAGAGGTTTCTGAAAGATCACTAAACTTTGCAAAATGTTTCCCAGGGGTCACTAAATTTAGTGACCCCTTTTTACAAAACTCATTGATGAATTGGGTAATTTTTAAAGTCCAATAACTCCATGGAAACTTTTTACAAAGTTCAATTGGGTAATTCACTCTAAAAGAAATAAATATGTGAAGACCCAATAATTTTTTCTTAGAGAAAAAGGGATTATTCATTGTTGTATGACTCTCAATATTTTTATTAGTGTGACACAAAACAAACTTGCACACCAAACTAAAAGTTAAAATATATAAACATATTACATATTGTTTGACAATCTCTCAAAAGTTCATGATAAAAATGTCTCCATACTCTCGTGTTCAATAACTCCCATTTCCCAAAAACCTAAACTCCCTCACTATGCAAGATTTTATATTTGAACCTAAACAATGAATACGATAAAGGCATAAATGAGTGAATAATTAGCATAATTAAACTTAACAACATAAAAAAAATGCATGAAACATTTAAATTAAAAATATCAACTTTGTTTACATTAAGGTCAATTACGGTTATCTAGACTTAGAATTAATACAATATTTTCTCTCCCTTTCTTTTCCCAAGTAGTCCATTAACCATATAAGATTCAAACAAAAGGTCCCTAGTTCCACTTATGTTACTCTTCTCTATTAATTCTTCGTTAAAATTCTTCACATATTCCATGCAGTCTTCCCGGGCCTTGGACCTGTCACTGTCAAATTCACGAGTACATCCAGCCCACCAGCCATCCATAAAAAGCCCATGCACAACCTATTTCTCAGCACCATAGGAGAAACACGGAAGATTTCTAAGCTGAAAGTTCTTAAAGGTACCAAATCTTTATCGTCAATTTCTAGCAACTTTTAACTAGATTTCTCATTCTCATCACATTTTCTTCAGGCTTTGAATTTGGTGAAACCATTGAGTTACATGGATGCATAAGCAAGAGTATTATCATGCGGCTGTTTAAAAAGAAGGGAAGTCTTTATCAGAAATAGGGAATCTTGGTTTTTTCTATAGTGAATAATGGACTTCAATTGGTGGCTTGTTCGTATCTTAATTGGGTGTCATCCTTCCTGAGCTTTTTTACTATCCCTTCTTCCTTTTTTTGTCACTTGCTATGTTTTCTTGACCTTGTAAGACTTTTCTTGACCTTGTTAGACCCCATGTTGTGTCTTTTCGTTTTGTTTTCAGTCGTTTTTCAAATTTCACAGCAGATATTTCTAATGTAGGATTTGGTTGTTCTCTTTCCCCGTTCCCTCACAACTAACTCTTTTCTTCCCTGTCTATCCCTTCTGAGCTAATCCATGTTGTTGTAAGGATGTAAAACTATGCATGTGTTTGAGCCACATTATTTTGAAAGAATGTATTTTGAAGTAGTAGATTGATGGAGAATATGTGGTTAAAAAATAAGGAAAATCTTGGATTTGCGCGTAATATTATTTTATTGAAAAATATGTGGTTAAAATGATGTCAAATTACTGATTAAAAATGTATTTTTTTAAAAGAATACGACACAAACAGGGCCTATATATTCTTCAGGTAGGGCCATGAATTTTAACTGTATTAGACAGGCACAAAGCCAAATATAGACATACATTAAATTTTGAGGCTCGGAGAATAAAAATGATTTTTCTCGTGACTGCTAGCTCTGATGTACAAAACACTGTACTCTCTTATCTAATCCCCAGTTGTGACTGGCAGTTGAATTACTTTTCTAGTACTCACTAACCTTTTCATTCAGAATGACAAAGGGACAAGGTGTTGTCTCTAAGCGTGTGTGTATTTTGTTTTGTTGATTGAAAAGAGATTTGTCTAGTTTTGTTTCTTACACGTTTGCTTCTAGTACAAGGCTGTATTCTCATCATCTTTCACTAATTTGTGATTACTTTGTATAATTCTGATACAAACAAATGTTTTGTCTTAGGTTCAAGATTTGAAGGCGCTCGGCTTATTATATTCCTATCTTTCTGTAATAAATCGCAGCATGCTTGAAAATAAATTTTGGGTTAAAATGTTTACTTTAAATGGTTAACTTCATGATCTTTTGAATAGTTGAATCACCTTATTTTCCAAAACCGCAAAATCTGCATTTTCTTGTTGTCCAATAGTCCAAATCCTGATCACAATAAAATGTGATTATTATCTACAATCTAAGTACTTTATTTTGTGAGTTTTCATACCAAAATCGTGATTTTAGAGCCTTTCCAATTTTGATGTATTTTCACATACGAATTTCACCATATTTTCTTTACATCATTCTCTCTCCCAAATGCTAGACAAAATAATTAGAGGTTAAAATGGGAGTTATGTGAAGTTATGGGAAGTTGTAGGTTTGAATTTAGAATTCAAACCACTCCGTCCAATCATTTTGATATCCTATGGGAGAGGTAACCTTACATGGGCAATCCACGACCCATGTTTTCCAATATCTCATATTCCCACATGATGGGTTTAACTCGAACCACAAGTGACAACAAATATCACACGTTAGATCCTTTTCAAGGTCCATC